CGACTTTCTCCGCGGCGTCCGCCTTTTGCCTCACGAGCCGCCGAGACTCCTCAAGCCTGATGCGGAGCACCACCCTATTTTGCTGCATTGGCGGCGGTCGTCTGTCTCCGCCGAGGTGTAGGAGCGGTGGATGATGTCACGAAGGATCTCATCATCGTAGTAGATGAGTGAAAGTGCATCTTGAGTGGCTCTAGGCGGCCAGTGACGTCCTCTGCCTTGCGCGAGGATAGGCACTTGTCTCGGACTACGACAGCCACGATCACGGGCTCAGCGTAAAGGCACGAGCACCCAACCCGCCTGGGTAGAGCAAGGGTTGGAGGTGCCAAGCACCACCGGCGCCCTGTCGCCTAATCGTGGAAGGTGCGGATCGACGCGGAGCTATAGTTGCCCCTTCGGTACACCGGGGTTGCCGCCGAGGAGGAGCTCCCACCCCTGTCCATCTGCGAGTGGCGGAGGGCAATGTGGAGCACAAGATCCTCATCGTCCGACGCGGATGAGCTAGAGTCCTCCTTGACGAGCTCCGCTCAGTCGATGGAGTTGGATTGACTGCCGGAGCTGTTGCCGCTCATGGGGGAGGGGAGGAAAGAGGAAGGGAAGGATACGGGCAATGGAGAGGAGCGGTCGAGAGAGGTGAGAGTTTGACTAAGCACTACTAGGGTAAACCTTATACACAGAATCTTAGCAGTAGCGCGAGACAAGAAGGGCCGCTACTGCTAAGTAGCAGTAGCGCTGGCCCCAAACAGGTGCTGCTACTACCGACTTAGCACTAGCGCGGCTCTGCGGGGCCACGCTACTACTAAAATCCCCCGACCGTTCCTGCCACGCTAGGTTTAGCAGTAATGCGTCGTAACTAACTGCGCTACTGCTAATGTAATAGTAGTAGCGTGCTTTTTTGCAGTTCACTACTGCTAATTTTAAACCTGGCCACATGGCGGGCCCTGCTTAGCAGTAGCGCCCCTCCTAGAAGCGCGCTACTGCTATCCTATTAGCAGCAGCGCGTTTTAGATCCAGTGCTACTGGTAAACCGCAGCCATACCACCTTTTTCCTCCCCCCTCCCCTCCCTCATCCTCTTTTCTTCACTTTCCCCTAACTCCCACCTCTTCTCTCCCTCACTTTGCTTCTTCCCCACTACTTCTCCCCCCATTACTCTCCTTCTACCTATCTTTCTCTCTCTTAATTACTCCTAGCTAACTACACCACCTCCATTAATGCATCTCCTTTCTCTTTTTTCTTCCCCCTCCACTAGTTGAACTTGTCTCCTCCCAAAATCGTTGGGCTTTCTAGGAGCTTCTTGCTTGCGATACTGATGAACATGCCAGATAAGACCAAGGATGGGCCGAAGGCAAGAAAAGACTTGCAAGATCTGAAAATCAGGGTAGATCTGCACATGCCGCCCCATAAAAAGCCAGAGGAGACAGAGACGGAGACAGAGGCGCGGGAGAAGAAGGGCAAAAAAGTAAAGGAAGAGGATTATTGCCCCCCTTCTTGCATCGCCTTAAGTGCGAAGGAGATCGATCAATTCATCAAGTGCCTTATGGGAATCAAAGTCAGTTCCAGTTACTGTGGGAAGGTAAGCAGATGTCTAGACCCCCAAAGGAAAAGGTTCAGCGACATGAAGTCTCATGACTGTCACATGATGATGATACAGATACTACCTGTTACCCTTAGAGGGATAATGGACAAGCACGTCCGTGACACGCTTACTAGTCTCTACAACTTTTTTGACGTCATCTCTCAAAAGTCGATCAGTGTGGAGCCGCTCCGAAGGCTAGAGGAAGATATCGTTGTGATACTAAATGAGGTTGAGATGTACTTCCCGCCCTCGCCCTCGACCTTGCCGGAGTCGTCGTCTCCCCTGACCCCGCCTCGCCTCGGTGTCGCGCCATCTCCCTCGCCCTCACCCTCGCTGGAGTTGTCGTCTCCCCCGACCCCGCCTCGCCTTGGTGTCGTGTCGTCTCCCTTGCCCTGGCCCTCGCCGAAGTCGCTGTCTCCCCCGACCCTATCTCTCTCTGCCGTCTATAAGCCCTCTCCCCTCCCCTCTGCTCTCTGCTCTCTGCTTTGTGCTCTCTGCTCTCTCTCTCTCTCTCTCTCTCTCTCTCTATCTCTCTCTCTATTAGTATGAACCCTAGCTATTTAGTGCTAGTTAGTATGGATTAGTACGAACCCTATGCTTTTTTTACTGGTAGTTAGTTAGTTAGAATCAGTATGAACCCTAGTTAATTACATAGTATGAAACCTAGTTAAGAAAAACTAGGACAAATTAGTGGCTACTTTTTAGTGGTAGCTAGTATGAACCCTAGGTTTCAAACTATTGATATTTTTTGTTAAAGCAGTTGTTGCTATTTAAAAAAACCGGAATTAGTATTTACCCTAGGTGAATTAGTATTTACCCTAGGACAGATTAGGTAGTATGAACCTAGTTAATTAGTAGGAAATTAACTAGGTTTTCAAATTAGGACAGAAATTTAGCTAGGTTTTAAATTAGGACAAAAATTTAGGTAGGCTGAATTTAGTTTCAAGTTCTATATTTTTCTTGCTGTTATATGCAAATTTGAAGTGGTCATGTGATATCTGGACATGTGATTTGGACATGTGATGTTTGGAATTTGGACATGTGATATTTGGAAAATGATGGTTATGTGCAGGGTAAATGATCCGAGTGGCCTATGTTTCACCGGAATGTTGATTCATTTCTGTTCCGGTGAATTTCAGGCGCTCGATATGTCCACTTTTTAGCAAAGGTCATGCCAAAATTTCCCGTGAATTTTGGCATGACTTTTGCTAGAAAGTAGGCATATCGAGTGTCGGGATTTGCTGTGACGGGAATGAAATGACATTCCGGCAAACCATAGACTTTTTTATGTCATTTCTCATTTTATTATAGTTTTAGAATTAAACGAGGAGACTTAATCATAGGAAACATGTCGAACAACGGAGTAACCGGGCCTTCTGACCAAGATGTAGATGAGACAGATTATGAGGTTGAACAACAGTACCTCGACTTTTTGTCTGCTAAGCACAGTCAAGGTTTGAAGGGCTGCCTCGATGATGGTACTGACACCGATATCGACACCGACGGCGCTGACACCGATGGCGGCGCCAAGACCAGCGGGGAAGATACCGACAGGGAAGGTACCGACGCCGAAGCCGCTACCGAAAGGAAGAAGCAGAAGAAGCAGAGGATACGAAAACCTAACAAACACGGCATCGGACAACTGGTGATCACAAAGATGGCCCCTAGCAAGTTTGAGCCATTAGAGCCAGAAAAACCTCGTACGTGCTATGGGAACCAAGTAGGATGCATCCTACAGGAATGCGTGAGCATCAACGATGATGACTTAAGGAGTAAAGAACATTTGAGGCAGTTGCTCATGACGAAGTTTCACAAGAGATTCAAGTTCCCCGACCGGGATGATAGCATAGAACAACCATGGGATGATCCGAAGATGAAAAAGATTAATAATCACGCCATGGGCATGTTCAGCAATGATTTGGCCTCTTGGAAAGGGAGGGTGAAATGAGATATTGCGGCTGAGGAACCCCTGTCCATGATTTTGGAGGAAAATTCGACACTTACGGAAGAGGAGTTCCAAAAGTTCAAGGAAACTTGCGCTACCGAGGCAGACAAGGCTAAGGCTGCGAAATTCAAGAGCCTTCAGCAAAGGAACATGGGAAACCAATGCCTTGGAAGCCGTGGATACCTTGGCAAAAGGCCCATATGGGATAAGGAGGACGCGAAACATGAAGACGCGGTTCTCCTAGACCCCTTTGCAAAGTTCACCAACCCCTTGGAGCGTGACTTCATCAGGGCCCGCTACAAGTGGGACAAGGAAAAGAAGGTTTTTTACATGGATCCGATCACGAGGAAATTGATTAGATTACAGGTAATTATTAGTTTACCACCTTAAATTTAGCTTCTGATCAAGTCGACTACACATTCGTAAACGATTCACATTCCTTCTGCAGGAGAAGCAACACCAGCTTGCAGCCAAAAGCCAGTCTTTGTCCATGAGGCCCAAGTGGGACACCCCTCTCAACCGGGCTTTGAACAAACTTAAGGGAGTCCCTT